GCTGAACAATGAGCCTGGAGGTTCGATTGTGGGAAGCATTTGACTCATACGGCATAGAAGAGCTACTGAAAGTAAAGTAATGCTATAATTTAGGAGTTAAAATGGACATCTGATCACAGAACGTGTGTTGACGGGTCCACTCTAGCTGCTGATCCTGGCTTTTTGCTAGGGATTCTCCGGGGTTCTCCGTGTCTGATTGAAGACGCCTCCTCCGTCTGGCAATTCGGCTGTTTTCAGGTTTCCTTCGTTGTAGCTGGCGAGACCACGTGGCTTGGTCTGACCTCGGTGAAGTTGGCTCGACGAAAAAGGCTTAAAATGGAACTTGGTCGTTCCTGAATTAGTCCAGTGTAACTTAACGAACTGATAACTTTAACAAGCAAAAGAAATAAAGAAAATAAAACAAACTGAAAGCAGATCGATGTCGCGGCACTTCACGTGTGTAGTTCAGGCGAACAAAAGGCCGGTCTCGCTGGCCGAGTCTGGGCGTTGCCTGGCGAGGCACGCCACACGCGTGCCGAAGCGTCCAGCGAGCAGAGCAGAGTGGAAGAGAGCCAACAGCGAAGAGAAGAGAGCGAGGTCGTGTGTTGCTCTTTTGTTGCCTGGGGCGTGGTTCCCCAGGGGGCGTCTCAGGTTTCCCAAGGGACTGCCTTTCTAAACTTAATGTCTAAAGAAAAGAAATCTATTTGCGCGTATTATAATCAAATATTTTCCACAATCAACCTCAATGGTTGAACGGTTGTACTGTTCTAGGCATTTGGTAACAGGAAACAATTGTCACATTATTGGTCAGGATATTTATACATTTAACGGCATTTCCGACGAGGGCATGTAATACTTATTTCGTCCACTTGGGGGAGCTCAGGTTACATGAGGAAAGCTTGGATTAAATCAAAGATCGGACCATCAGTTGCCACGGAAACGTGTGTGGGGGGCCAGTTTTGATAGGCTGTTCAGGGAGATGCCAATGGCTGGTTCGTGTCCCTTTGTCAGCTTAACAGTCAGGCCCCGCGTTATCAGCTTCGGGATCAAAAAGGTGCCAGTTTTATGGTCGGGATAGCACTTAGAGAAAGCAACTTTGACCCCTCCCCTTCTTCTCTGGGGAGGAGAAAGGAATTTAGGGTAGCTCCAAATTTATTCAATGTAAAATGCACAAATCCACACCGTTGTTCACCACAGTTAAATGTTCATATACAATTTCCTACTAAATTATCCATGGAAGCGCTCGTGTTCATCACCAGCCTGTCAGTTAAAGTGGAATGTCTACTCTTTTCTTGTGTGACCCAAGCGCCACCAAGGGGACAAGAAAGGTATAACACGCAAGTGTTTAAAACTCGGCTTACACTGACAGAATTGTTAAGTAGGCCTAACTATCACCATGTAATTGCATAAACGAAATTTTACTGTCACGCCTACATCTAAATTGTCTCACGAGTTAAAACCAGTAACCAGCAAGTATACTGAGGACAGGTAACCAAGCTTTGTTACGTTTTATATAACCATTATAACCTTTTTCCATAGTGTTTAGCCTTGTTTTAACTGTCTTTATCCGAATGTTTAGAACTAAGTATTTTTCCAAATGTCCGATATTGTGGAGAGAGAGATTAAAGGGAAATACGCGCAACGTATATTTCTTTATCCCAAAAAGTTAACACCTTAGCGACGTTTGGGAGACCATCCCCAAAATGACGTCACACTACCTAGCGGGATCAATAAAAAGGCCCTGCTGTCTGTTGTTCGAGCTTCTTCCTCTTCAAAGAAAACCTCTTCTTTTAAACTTTCTTGAAACTAAACGTATACGTTCTCTTAACTTCCTTTACTTTTGAAGTTCCGATTTTTGTTTCGTACTTAAATCTCCTTCAGACGAGCTGAGAAAGCTACGATCCTGAATTCTAAATTTCTTAGCGGGAGATTTGATTTTTTTTTTTATTCTGTTTGGAGCTGCCTGTTTAACCTCAGCAACATTAAATAGCCTATATTCCAGAGGCCTCGCGAACCTACGGTGAATGTGTGAGTTTATTTGATTTTGTTGTTGCAACCTCATCCGACCGTTGTGAGCAACTTTGGACCAGAAACTCAGAAGCCTTCATTTATGGCCTTGAATAAATGAAACCACGGCTCTGACGACAGAACCCTGAGTGGGCCTATAGCGACACCAAATGAACTGAGATCAGAGCAAAAGCCTTGGCTGACAGCCCTGTTGCTGCAAGCGCTTCCCACAAGAGGACTCCGGACCCAATCCACCGGTTTCAACCCAACTCGAAAACGCCACTGGGGTCGGGCCAGAACCGACTTCCCGAGCCGGCAGTCGAGCCTCGCCACGGGACCTGCGGCAACGGTAGGGCAAAACAAACAACCCTCTGTGACTCGTTCGTGTTCTATGGGCTCCATCCACAGTTAATAACCCTTAGATTAGTCAAACTAAATCTGCAACCCAATTTCGGTCATTCGTTCCCTCATACTCGTAGAATTCTCTCCCTCTACAATATAAACTGAAATTCAATCGAACCTTACATAGGCTAACCTGTTTTAGTACCTCCTGGTTGTCATATTAATTGTTATCCCTGTAATATCACCACATTTACCCACTATTGTACCCTCTTTTGTTAGTTAATAAATTCACCTTGAGCACAGCGATGTATGTATGTGTGTTATTCGGAAGTAAGTCCCTATACATAGAACTTACGCTCAGATCTGAGACTGACTGATTGACCTTACTATTTCATGAATTACCAGAACTTGGTATAATTCTCAGGCTATACTCAAGGACCTAAAGCCTTGGGCGGACAAGCAAATCTTTAGGTGGTGCTCCTAATTTCGAGGTATAAATTAATATTCCCGGAAATATTAATTTTCATAACTGTATTAAAATTTTACGTAGTCGAGGTCTGCTACATTAGTGGCCAAGTTACAATAACATATGGTTTAATAATTAAATAAATATAATTTAATATATCTATCTAAAGAAACCTAATTTCTTGACTGGCTACTCTCTGCTGTCTCAGAAGAGACACCTTTTGTGCTGTGTCAGCCACCGTAGCTGTCCTACGCTCTGTGTGGGGGCAATGGTAGACTAGACACTTGGCTGCAATCACATCTTCACCTCTAGATGCCACTAAATCTTACACACTGAAACTTTAAGCAGCTAAACTAAAAGCTGTTGTAGCTGAATAAACAGAGGAAACTCTCCAGAGGAAACAGAATTAAACTTTTAGCTTCTGAAAAACATGTTTAGACACTGTAATAGAGCTCAGGAGTGATCAGGGGATGGCTCCTTTACTCCAAACAGTTTCAGGCAGGAGGATGGAGGATCTAGGAGGTGAGGAGCCACAAAGTAAAGAAATGAGAAAGGCCCATTGTGAAGCTCAGTGTGGGCGGCTCCCAGCAGCTCCGGCAATCACCATCTTCACAGTTCCTGACTCTATGGGCAAAGAGGTAGAGCTGTGGTAGGCCAAATGTTGCCCACCTAGCAGCTCGCCACATGAGAGGACACGTACCTGTCACTCAAAGCAGCCACATCCTTAAATGACCCTTCGCTCTGCCCCAAATACGCAGCCGGCCAATCACAGCACGGTATAACACATGCTCTAATTGAGGTCTGACACTTTCATGGGTGTGCTCCATTGATTCGATGCGAAATGTGTTGTATTCTAGTTTTTTTTTTTTTTATGTATTTTTCTAAGATATCAAATACTTTTCCTGGGGCACTAGTAATAATTACAATCACTGCCCCCACTGAGGCTGAAAGGAGAAGCACGATTTATTCACTTTCCAAAACCTAAAACAAATCCAGAAAAATGTAGTTTACAGTTACAGTAATATTTTTATCAGCTTGAGGTTGAAGTAAACTGTGCTCGTTACATGATAACGTAACACTGACTGCATTTAGCTAACGTGATATGTCGGTGTTAGCTCATTTGCTGTTTTTCAATAACTAACGTTAATATTTGTGTATCTTTCACCAGGGGGCTCAGCAATGTGAGCACATCTAAATGTACTAGATGAAAACAAAACGGTTAGAGATCAGGCCTCAATATTATAAATGGGATTGTTGCCACACTTTATAACAGTTAGACCGCAGCAAGTAACATTACTGTAGTGAATGGGTCTTCTACTGTGTTGTTATCCTGCGTTGTTATGTTGCAGTATTGTATACTTTGTCACATAGTTACATTGACTGAGACGGTGGAGAAGCTGTGTACCTGAGTATCGGTAAAAAGACAATAAATCTAAATTCAGTGTTACAAAGCAAACAGCGGCAGATCTGTGCTAACGTAGCTGGCTTCCCCTGCTGTAGCCTCGCTATAGGCTAGTATAAACACAACGCTCCACATTTGCTTTGAACTGTTACATCACTTCTTGCAGGCTAAAATAAACACTTTGACATAATACCGGTGGTGCAAAGGATATTAATATGTATCGCCGGTGAAGTAATGTGGAAAGCCATACAGCTAAAGTTATAGTATTTTGCACCAGATAACATTAGCAACTGCTTGGTGTCAGCAAACTCTGTGTCGGTTTTGTTGGTTCCAAAAACAAAGCGGAGATCTCTCAAGCATTTCTGATGTTGACTGTGTTTTCACCCGATGTCGATCTGATTCTCGTTCATCCTGAAGGGCTATAGCACATAAAACAGTTTGATGGTTTTTATCCATACTCCATCTCGTTAACTGTGGTGTAGAATACAAAAGTCTTCACTTAGGATTAGGCATACTGGTCGTCAGAGCCAACAGTAAAACCTGGCTTGTGGATCGTTTTTATGTGAGATTACAACCCATTCACACAAATAAAGTTGATTCATTTCAATAAAAAACTACATATAGCCCCTTTTAATATAATTTAAACTGGTGTCCATGGAAATTGACCCACTTTTCAATCAAGCCGAAGTTTTTGGCACTTCTGTGTTGGCATCTTTTTTCAGCCCCAGAGGTTGCCGTTTGATCACAACCAATAGATTATTTTTGATTTGTGAAGCTCTGGTGTGTGTTCCTTGTCCTCTGCAGGACTCAGAAAAGAGGTCTGAGACTCGATGGAAGATGCAGAGACTGCTGGAGGTCCTAGAGAGCACCGCCCCCCCGGGAGCAGACTCCGCCCTCAAGGACTCCACTGACAAGAGTAGTCGAGGACAGAAGCCGCTGGCCTGTGGCCCTGAACCAGCCAGGTACTGGAAGTACTCGTCACCGGATGGATTCTCTTAATTGTATGACTTGTGATGATGGTGGTGTTGCTGGCTGCTGTTTACCTGTTTAGAAAAACCCAGAACACACTGCAGCTGTTTCCTCACAGCCGCACAGTGGGCTGGACCAGAGTCCCGCTGAGGTTTGACTCCCACCGGAATCAGATTAGCTGTTGAGCGATCTCGTCAAAATATTCATACAATGCATTTCTCTCTAAATAAGGCTATAAAGTCATAAACACACAGTGAAATAAGTTCTTATCCATGCTTTTAATGTTCTGTCTCTTCTTATATGTCTAATATATTTAGAAAAAAACAGTTTTGAGTAGTTAGGGTATTTCAACAACATATTTTCTTTTCCTGTAAATAAAGAAGAGACAAAGAAAAGTGATATTGGTCATAATTTATGAGCTTATCTTATGCTAATTGTAGAATGTTTATGTGATAAATGTAGTGGAGTAAAATGTCTATGAAGATTCTCAGTCATCCAGGTCATAGTAATCCAACGAGGGTTAAAATGAAGGGCAACTGGACGTATGAGACACTGAGACGAGACCCAACCAGCGGATACAAGAAAAAGGCCATAGAATGTCTACAACAGTTACAGAAGGACAACACCATCACCCGTGAACAATATTACCGTTTGTATCCTGGAGAATCTATTCCATGCATTTATGGACTACCCAAGATTCACAAAGAAGGAGCCCCACTCAGGCCGATTATCAGCAGCATTAACTCGGTCACCTACAACATTGCCAAACACATTTCCACCATCTTAGCTCCATTGGTGGGAAACACGCCTCACCACATTCAAAACTCTATTGACTTTGTAAACAAAGTTCGAGGACTAAAACTGGATTCAGATGAAACCATGGTATCCTATGACGTGACTTCTTTGTTCACCTGCATCCCCACCATAGAGGCAGTAGAAACCGTTAGGAAACGGCTAACACAAGACAACACCCTGGACAACAGAACCAGCCTCAGCCCTGACCAAATCTGCAAATTACTCGACCTCTGTCTAAACACCACCTACTTCCAGTACAACGGTGGATTCTACAGACAGAAGCATGGCTGTGCCATGGGCTCACCGGTATCCCCGATTGTGGCAAACATCTACATGGAAGAAGTGGAGAGTAAAGCCCTCAACTCCTTCACAGGAACAGCACCGAGCCACTGGTACAGATATGTGGACGACACCTGGGTCAAAATCAAAAGCCAGGAAGTGCAAGCCTTCACAGAACACATAAACTCTGTGGACAGTAACATCAGGTTCACACGAGAAGATGTTCACAACAACAGTTTGGCCTTCCTGGACTGCGCTGTACACATTGAAGAGGACAGGAGCCGGCAGATTGGTGTTTACAGAAAACACACACACAGACCAATACCTACTCTTCGATTCACACCACCCACTGGAGCACAAGCTAGGGGTCATGAGAACACTGCACCACAGAGCGGAAAACATACCAACAAGCGCCCAAGCCAGAGAGAAGGAACAGAACCATCTGAAGGGGGCACTTACAGCCTGTGGATACCCTAAATGGACCTTTGTGAAAACAGCCACAAGATCCAAGAAGAACAAAACTACAGGGGAGGAGGAAAAGAAGGTCAAACGCAACAACATTGTGATTCCATACGTGTCTGGAGTATCAGAGAAACTCAGGAGGATTTATAACAAACACAACATCCCTGTGTTTTTTAAACCCAAGAACACGCTAAGACAGATGCTGGTCCACCCCAAAGACCGCACACCCAAACACAAGAAAAGCAATCTAGTGTATGCGGTCCAATGCAGTGAGGAATGCACAGACCTGTATATTGGGGAGACTAAACAACCACTACACAAACGCATGGCTCAACACAGAAGGGCCAACTCCTCAGGTCAAGACTCTGCTGTCTACTTACATCTGAAGGACAGAGGACACTCGTTTGAGGACCACCAGGTGCACATTTTAGACAGAGAAGATGGATGGTTTGAAAGAAGTGTCAAGGAAGCATCTACACCCGGGTCGAGAAGCCGTCATTGAACAGAGGAGGGGGTCTACGCCACCACTTATCCCCCACTTACAATGCTGTCCTTTCATCACTTCCCAGGAAACTCAACAAACGTAACCTATTGGCCTCAGGTGAAGATGCCAACGATGGTCGTTCAGTCTTGGCCACAGGTAGTCTCAACGACTGTAACGACTGTCGTCACAGCAACAAGGAACACTAACGAACCAGCGGTATCGATGACCCGGGCCAACGACCCCACTGAGGTTAAATAGCTGAGTTTCCCTGCCAGTCAGTCAGAACTGAAGAAGTCCTTTGGATAAGGGACGAAACGTCTTCCAGTATCTTCAACCAAGTCCAGTTGCCCTTCATTTTAACCCTCGTTGGATAGTGGAGTAAAACTTTGTACAATGGAAAATATAGTGGAGGCAAAACGAAAGTCTCAAAAAGGAACATATAAAAATTTCTAAACTAGTATATACTTTCTTATACCGCACATCAAGGTTTTACTATTTTAGGAGACCATATTTTGGTTTTCAAAAAAGAGGACAGTGGGGGCAGGTCGTAGATGGTCACCTGCAGTGGGTGGAAGGTCGAGGCAGGGGGTGATTCAAGTAATTGTTGGCACTGTGGCAATGTGTATGGATGGGCATATTTGCACATTGGCATCCTGGCTCTGGCTAAATGTACATCTGTCCACTGCAGAGGCTCTATCCACCTGCCGGTAACTACTATAAATTAGTGTATTAGTACAAAATTGAATAACATTTAATAAAAAGTTTAATGTTACTATGATACTAATATATTTATAGGTTACACTTTATTTGGCTAATGTCCGCCTACAGATTGTTTATAGTAGGCCTTTTTGTAACATTTCAACAGCTTATTGAGAACAATTTAACTAATTCACAATTGTCTTCTGTTAAAATCTGATTAGGGTAATACTAGTGTATTCATTATAAGTTCAGATAATAGCATCATATATAGCTTACCACTAGTGTAATTATAGTTACAACAGTTTCATTATGGTACGTTGTTCTCATTCATTAAATCTGCGTGCAATTAGTCTCTAATTTGTTAATGCTAATTGACATATGAGAGAGAGAGAGACTGTATTTAAGAATACTGTAGAGCTAGAGTTACTTCTCATCAATCCTGAGCCAAGACAGTCTGCTCCTGTTCCCCTCATCCTGTCCCTTCTCCACAGAGCAGAGACCCCGAACACAGCCACAGATCCATTGTACCTGATGGCCCGCTACAGGCCAGGTGACCTCGGCCTCGTACCTCGACCTACGTGGAAACACAAATCAGCCTTCTCCAGGACTGGTGCTCCGTCCACCGGCACCCAGCTGCCTCTCAACAGGTTTGTTAAAACGTGGAGACTTACGTGTTTGCCTGCAGGGGGCAGCGTTGGGTCACATCAGTTTTTTCTGTGTGGAAATGTGTTTCACTCTGCACTTGAATCCTCCAAAAATAAGCTTTAGCTGATGCTTTTATCTAAAGTGACCTACAATAAGTGCATTTCAACCATGTGGATACATTTCAAAAATGTAATCACACAAGTACATCAACTTCATTAAATTTTGTATTTGTTTGATATGTAACTGCTTCAGATGCTACATTTGTTTTGTTTTTAGGTACCAATTGTCAGTCTGAACAGATGTGTTTCCAGTCTACAACAGAAGATGTGTAAAGTTTCTGCTGGGGAGCTTGGTCCACTATTGTGGAGCCAGGACCGTTTGTCCTGTCCCTGTTGTCCAAATGCACAAGGCAGGCTTACAGTATTGATGGCTAAAAAGCTGACTTTCTCTCAGTTTAGACTTTACACAGCAAAAGGGAACACCAGATTTTATACTGTGTTTATACTATTCTGATCCTTCAGGAGAGAGTAATGAAATGACTCCAAATTAGTGCTAATGTTGCTAACAAGTTTGCCAAAACAATTGTATAGTGATGATCTGTGATGGTCTGGGAATATATAAATAAAACTAAACCATAATCTTGGTTTGAGTATTTTTTTTCTTTGATAAATGCTGCTGCTTTATCCGTCCCTCAGGAAACTCTGCAGTCAGAAGACATCCAGCTCTGATGAGCCGTCTGACCAATCTGATGCGGCTCCTCAACAGGCTGATTCAGAAGCAGGAGCCTCCACCTCTGCAGACTGCTGAACCAGATCCAGAAGAAAGATGAATGTTTTTCATCCCGCCTCAACAAAATTCAAAATAAAGGTTTCAGTCACTTTAATCTTGATTCTGTTCTGCTTGCTGATCTTTTTGTAGTTTTGTACATACTTACTGTATTTACATATTGCAGATATATATTTTTTTATTACTGCTACAGTGGTCTCCAGCCACTGTTCAGTACTTTACATTAAATGGCTGCTCCTTCTATCTGTTGTGGGTGTTTGCCAACATTATTATTGTGGCACTATACATATCCCTCCCAGCACAAACAGTAAAGAAGATCTGTTCTCTATGGGGCCATCGGCACATCACGGCAGCTTCAACCACAGCAATCTCAAAACTGTTCTTCTGAAATCTGCATCAGCATGTCAACTTTGCAAAGGATGAACATTCTGGATCTGGATCATACAAACACCCGAGACTCATACAAGGCTGCACCCGGCTACTGCCTTGGCTGCTCAGACCATGAAACGCTACTATGAAGTGATTTGTGTTTCTAGCCAAGTCCTGCCTCGCAACATTACTTGACCCCCAGGTCCACAGGCCATGTCATTTCCTCTTCCTTTTCACCTAGCCCTGTGACACATGGGTAACACCAATGTGAGAATGCTATCATCCCCCAGAAGCTCATACTGAAGTTGAGCCCCCTTAGCCTGCAGACCTCCCTTTGGATTCTGGACTTTCTCACAGAGAGACCCTAGACAGTATGCCTCCAGAATAGCACCTTAGCAGCCACCACACTCAGTGAAGACCCCAGGGATGTTTGCCTTGCCCACTGCCATTCTGACCAGGTCCTGACCCACGACTGCTTCGCCAAATGACTCCAATGATATCAAGTTTGCGGATGTATTCTTCATTGCCAGCCCTGCATAAGTCAGTGCCACCCAAGTTAAACAAGTCTTGACATGCCACTGCACCTTCTACAGGAAGTTCCTACAGAGGACAGTGAAGATAGCAGACCCCCTTATTGGGACCTCTCTACCCTCCATCCATGACATTTACACTAAACGCTGCACAACCTGGGCCTTCAGGTCAAACAACAAAATGCCAAAAACAGTTCCTTGAATGGCCAATTGAAGCTCGTTCCAAAAGTGTGCATGTAAAAATGCTCAACTTTAGAGCAGAAATAAACATGTTAACAGCCTGGTACAAAAAAGGTTTTCGTCTCTATACCTAATTTTCCCCTTCATGATCACTGAACGGCATTGTTATATAACTGACCCGTTAAATCAATATTTAGGCTTTAAGTTATGCATAGTTAAGGGCATGGCTGCTTTGAGTGACAGGTGGGTACCATCACAGGTGGCTAGTTACAGCAACCAGGCTTCATCAAGTCCTCCACATCTCCACCATTGTTCATATTTGGATTAGCCAGGAGTTAGGCAAGTCAGCCACTGCCAAGAAGCAACAGCTGGAGCCGCCCACATTGAGGGTTTAATGATTTAAACGCTCAATGTTTATGAGAACTATTGAGGTGAGAAATAGACAATGCAGTTACAGATCTTGATCATATTTGATCAGTGCTGCCTAGTTTAAAAGTTTGATCTGAGTTTTGTGAGTCTGGGGCATTTTTTCTGGATTGATTCATGAAGTAGAGGTTGAGTCGTGTTCATGCAAAAACAGACACTGTGAACAGTCTATCAATTCCATCATGCATCATGCCGCCTGATCTCCTGCTCTTCATAGAAAATGAATAGACTCCATCGACTTGACATACGTCATTGCATCCAGTCTGTGCGCCACTTTAGAAACCCACAAACTGCTTCAAATTCTCACATTTGAGACTCTGGAACAGAGTATATTCTGCAGTTTTGCTTGTAAATGACAAACAATGAATTGGTTATCAAAATTGTTGTTGTTATATTACTGTAAATTACTTTCAGTCCAATTTAATAAGAAAAAGTGTCATCATATACAAATAATATAAATAACATAGTTTTGTAGTCACCAGCTAGTTAATATAAAGTCATTGTTAGTGTAATTAGTAAAGTGAAAATTGGTGCAAATCATGAGGGGACAGGGTGTACAAAAACTCATTTTAAAAATCTTTATCCATGTGATCATTGACTTGATGTCAAACTTTTAACGTCTTCACTAATGTCTGACTGCATTAAATTACTTTACATTATAAAGAGGACCCTGAATCACAGATTAGAGGAACCCCAAGCAGATAAAAATGCAATAAGCAGTGTTTATAAAATGTTGGGCTAAGCTAAGGGGCCAAAGGTCAGACTGTTCAACCACGACGGCCTGCTTATTTTGAACTGTCGCCACCATTTAGAAATCAGTGAGCCTCACAGTAAGAAGAGGAGGAGTTCTGGGCAGACAGAGGACAACAGGCGCAGCAGGAGAGGACTGAAAACTCAGAGTGAACGTGGTGGAAAGGAAGCATCTGCAGCCTTTAGACTTGGACATGATGGAGCTCTATCTCGACCTGCACTCCCAGCCCTGCCGCTCCGTCTTTCTGTTTGCCAAAGCGGTCGGGATTCCCTTTGAGTTTAAGCTTGTCGACCTCGCTACAGGTAATCCCACACCCCAGACAGTCACAGGGACATGGATGAGACTTGAATTTATGCATAGCTTAAATGTGCATGTTTTAGTAAAGGGTTTGGGCTTTTTGTTCACATTCTATCTTAAAATAGTAATAACGACCACTACAGGAAGTAATTTCTCTTCAGATATCTATCTATCTGTCTGTCTGTCCGTCTATTGATGTTTTTTGGGGGCTTTTGAATATGTACAGACCAGATGTTTGTGGAGTTAGTGACCACCAAACTTTGAACTTGTTGCATAAACTCCAGCCTCAGAAATCTGCATAGTTATATTTGCAGACTTAGTCTTTGTGTTTGACTTTGTAACTCTGTAAACACATTTAGCAGGAGTTGAACGTCCTGCCGGATTTGAATTTGTTCTGTAAGCTTGAACATTCCAGCACTCCTCTGGGGGATCAGTTTACATTTTCACATTTCACCCAGAAAGCTGACAGACTCATTCAGCAAGTTGAGGAGTAGAGTTACATTAACTCCTAGAGAACCAACCTTACAAGAAAACAGTTGGTGGGATGTTGTGGGTCTGAGGTCAAAGCATCTAGAAAAAACATCCCTGCGTCCCTGAGGTGATTGAGTTTCACCTCAGGGATGCAAAGCAAAGAGAAGCGTTCCAAAGCAGATAACAAAGAAAAGGAGAGGGAGAGTAAAATAAACTCACCATTTTCTCCAAATGGTGGAACAAACCTCAGTTATGTGCTTTGTGTGCATGTATACTTTTTTTCTGTTCACATGGCAACACAAACAAACAGACAGCAGATATATTTTTCTTTTTAAGTCATCTGTGATTCTCATTTGCTGGTGTTTGTCTCAGGGCAGCAGTACAGCGAGGAGTTCGGAAAGATCAGCATCATGAGGAAGGTTCCTGTCATGAAGGATGGAAGCTTCATTCTGACGGAGAGGTACAACGATGGTTTGGATTTAAGATTTCCTTACATTACAAATAATGACAATATGTGTCTGATCAGTCCATCCATTCATATTTTAGACATCAGCAAGTAAGTTTTGAAAATCCGCAGGAAGAGTTTGTTGATCTCTTTCAAAGGCTGCTCATTATTATGTAAGGGCCAACATATTCTTCCACTCTGGATCTAGCCACGCAGATAGTTCTGGTTTGACCTGCTGAAGTCTTTAGATCTTCAGCTGTGATTTGTAGCTTCATCACCAGTGCAATGGTGTTGAATGGTTTTCAGTTTCAACTCATCTGCCTGAGACATAAACAAGCCAAGTGGGTGCATAAGGCTCTGCAGCCTGTAGAGGGCCCCCAAACAATATACTATAATATAATATACTTTCTTTATTAGGTAGCAATAGCAGAGAGATGACAGGAAGTGAGAGTTGCAACAAAGGTCCCCAGCAGGATTCAGACTGTGAAGTTGTAGTTCATGGTTGGCAGCTTAACCTGAGCTACATGGACACCCTTTGAATAATCAATTAATATTCAATAAAACAGTTTGTCTGGCAGCTCCTGTCCTGCTTCACATTACTTGTTCCATTTAACTTCAGTAAATATGTATGCTGTGTCTCCTGGTTGCTTGATAATATTTTCAGTGTAGTTGAACAACAATTAGGTGAAACAGTTGCCATATTCTCTGTTGCTGAACATTCATTTGTTCCATTTCTCTTCTTCCTGCTGTCTGTGTTGCAGCGTTGCGATCCTGAAGTACCTGGTGCAGAAATATTCGTCATCAGTGGCAGAGCACTGGTATCCAGCTGACCTGCAGCAGCGAGCTCGTGTTAATGAATACCTGTCCTGGCAGCACATGAACCTCAGAGCTCACGGCTCAAAGGTCTTCCTGCTCAGGGTACGAGTCCCAGATCAACCCGGTGTTGTATCCATTGACCTACTTCAGTACACACATTTCAACACTTCATACACAAGTTCATTTGTTAGTTTTTCCTTTTTGTACCTCTGCATTTTGAGGTTGTTTATACTAGATCTATACCTAATATGTTTAAATATATTGACATTTTATTTTTATGAAGTGTTAGATTAGATGTGATAATTTCATTGTTAGCAAAATTAGTATGGCACATAATGGGAACTTGACAAAGGGTCCTATGTTTCCCACATCTAGGGTTAAGGTTAGGGTAAATGGTTTTTTGAACTTAGGACCCTGGGAACATAGCTACGCTCCTGATTAGATTAGATTGAACCTTATCGTCATTGCACAAGTACAGTACAAGTACTGAGCCAACAGAGTGCTCAAAGTTAAGTCATGACCCACATTTCAATCCATAGATTTTCATCTAACAATTCACTCAAAACGACCACTACTTGCACTGATTGGTGCAAGTAGTGGTGATTGGTGCAGGTAATCACCAAAGTCATTAAGATTCATCCTCGGGGAGCACAAATGTCTGAACCGAAGGTTCATGACCATCTATCCAATAATTGTTAAGATGTCGGCCAACCGACTGTCAGAGATTGTCATCTCTAGAGCCATGCTGCTAACATAGCTAAAAATAAGCACATTCAGACTACTTTTTATAAATGTACTTACAGAATATTAATGACTGTCAATAACAAATGCTGCTGCTGGTGCTACCAAAGTCTGGCTGATCTTTGCTCTTCTATTTGACCAGACTCTGTTTCCTGTCATCATGGGCTCTGAGGCCCCGAAAGAGAAGGTGGATGCTGCTGTCGACGATCTGAATC